AAAGCATCTGGAATGTGACTGTGCCACGTGCTCTGTGTCTGTGCATGCATCAGAGCACATTTACAAAGTTACAAGTTTGTCCTCCCTAAATTTCAGACCTTTATGTTGTTAAGTTAGCAGTCCACCACTTAGAACAAGAGCTGCCTTTCACTGCTCGTGAGCAGGTGAATGCCCGTTTGCATGAGACCTCATTTCCCAGCCAGATCTATAAGAAGAGACATTTTGTATTTGGAAATAAGCTTTCTTTGCGAGTTGAGCTTTGGTCTCTTAGCAACAGCACGGGCACCTGCACGAAGACCAGCTCTTGGCACAGGAGGGGATCGGCCGGAGCAGCCACAGAACACCCACTGGAGGAAGAGATGAAGGCTTCCACAGCAAGAGCTGCAGTCAACACACTCTCCTGGGCCGCCCCAATGCAGGGCTGCTGTTTGCCGCCACGCAGGCAGCCCAGCATCCCTTCCACTCACAGACAGCAAAAGCCCCTCCATGTTTTCTCCTCGAGCAGGAACAGACAGTGACAAGCTCTTGCCAGAAGGTTAAAGAAAAGGCAAACTTCCACACTCTCAGAGGAGCCAACAACAAACAAGTTGTTCTTGCTTCTTGACACGGAGAACTGGAGCTCTGGGTCTCATAGTCTCAAACTGAGCTGCTCCTGAGGAGAGCAGTGTTCATGCATGGGCAGCAGAAAGGCAGGGAAGAGCTGAAGCCGTGCGCATCATGGCCTGCACTCCTGTACCTCAGCAGAACATGTCTTCTTTCTGGCCACAGCTGTGGCTGGACTGTAGCTTTCAGTAGATACCTACACCTGGCACAAAATGGGTGTATTTCTGACTGGAAAACTTGCATTGCAGTAGACTAGCTTTATTGCAGTAGATAATTTTTAATACTTTCCTTTTTTGATGACATTCATGACAGGTGCCATTTTGGATGGAAGTTGTTCTTTGCTCTTCACTACAATTTTACCACCTGCACAAAATACCAGCAGTGCAAGTATCTCACAGTACTTGTTCCATCACTTCTGCTACTGCACTTTCAGAGAGCTACAAGCAGCAGCAACAGTTGCTGCTTTTGTTATCTGAAATTTCTGCAGACAACGCCAGTTTGCTATTAGTAGGTTCACACATTTGCACTAAATATGCCTGTAGGGTTTATTTTTTAATTTGTATTACTTTCATTTTCTGTTGATTTTTCTTTTTATTTTAAACACTAAAGACAGGCATCAAAAAATCTGTCCCTACAGCACTGTATGGAATGCTAAGGTTCACAATCCAGTTTCATTACCACAGGAATGTTTCTGAGCTCTAGGCACAGGTGTTTGCACAGCCTTGTCCTGACACATCAGGTCCACAAGCTCAGGTTTTTTTCCAGAGGAATCCACTTTGTTTAGTGGGGATTTGGATGCAGTACATGGAAAGCTCAGGTGAAGTCTATGAAATAAATGATGCTTTCGAAATGCACCTCAGAAAGATCACTGCTGTTATTTTTTTCTTGGAATACTGTAAGTACGATTTGATTACCCTGCTTCATGCCATTCTATTTCCCTGGTCTGTTTTCGAAAGAACTGTACATTTATATATGCACCTCAGCTCTTGCTATGGTAGAATTGCATCTGGTATGGCCTAAGGAATGGTTTGGTTTACAAACTCGCAGTGCCACCTAGCAAACATCCTTAAGAATTCATTTTTCTGGTATAATTTTATGAAGCACAGCACAGAGCTTTCATATTAATATATATATATATATATATATATATATAAAGAAAGAAAGAAAGAAAGAAACTCGAGCTTGCAGTATTTCAAGCTTCCAGTGCACAGTTTTGTTCTGAAGTTAGATTTTGACCCAAAATCATGCTTACAAACAGGATAATAATGAAGATGCTCACACAGCTAAAATTCCAGTACTTGAATTTTAAAAACTTGCTTTGGACACATCCCTTATAGATTTGTCTACCAAACAGTCCCATTAATTTTTGTTTGAAATAACACATTTCAATATTAGGTGTGTCGAATTTGTTGATTTTAGTTTATCAAGGCACATTAATGCTTTGCATTAAATACATTTTAGACTTATATGAAGGCTAGACCAGATTGATTTGCTGTGCCTTAAAGTAACCACATTTCAAGAGAAAACAAGTTTATGTATTTAAGTCCTGCAGACCTACATGTGGAAAACATTCAAACACAGTAATCAAGAACAAATGCTGCAGCCACTGTCTATTATTCTAAACCTCCAACAGGAAGCTGTTTCCTGCAGTTCCTGTGCCAAAATCCCGTAAGCCACTTTAAAAGAGAATACGATCAAAAAGCAAAAAGAAGCCTCACAACATGAAGACTGGGAGATAAAAAGACACTCTGCTGGCTGCCCTGACCCCTTCTGGTAAGACATCAGACCAGCTGCACTGTAAGCTCCCTGAATAAAGCCGCTCATTTTTATTCATGATGACAACATGCATCAATATTTAGACAGTGCGTTGGCAGCAACACAAAATGAGAGTTTTATTGCTTCTCTTCAAACTTCTGAAGACACGCTACGACACTTCCTGGTGCAAAGAGAAATCACCACGTGTTTGCTGTGTTTGAGAAGAGTTCAACAAATAAATCAAGCCAGAACGAAAGGTAAGCTTCCAATAAAATTAATTTGAGCTTAATAATGATTCTCACTCTTGATTTTTCATATAATCTCCCAAGAGTCCAGCACCCCTTGAAGACAGTAAAATTTGCATAGTGCTTCAGCAAGCCCACACAGATGGGCGGACAGCAAAGTCACACCAAACAGCAGGCTTTATTGTCAGCTCTTTTTTCTTTCATGGTTTGTGTAAATCCATCCCTAAGAATGTAATCAGGAAAAGACTATAAACATGATTACTATCTACTTGAAGCAGCACACATTATAACCAGTCTTCTTCTTCATCCCGTCCTCAAAAGCATCAGTGAAAAGATTGATACGTTCACTTTGTAAAGTAGGTGATATGGATGTTCCACAACTTATTTTGTTAAAATATGCTTTTTTGACTATTAATTATATGTTAGTATTCTTTTTCACCTCAGAAATGAAAACAGAACCTACATCTGTATTAGTATAATTGCTATGCATATCTGATGAGGACTGTGGCAGCTCCCTGTTGTGAAACTATTTCTTATTAATTCAGTTTATCTATGAGAACTACTTAGACGTACATAGCTTTTTATAACAAAATAATGCATTAGTCATTAAAAACAATCAATTATCACAGGCACAATTAAGCAATCATTCCAAGTGTTCACTTTAAATAAGAACAAAAAAATTTATTTCTTCCAATTTCCATGAATAGTTTCAGATTTTTACATTAAAAAAAAAAACAAGCCTCTATAAAAATACATAAACTTAAAAATACACTATTAAAAAGAGCATAGTATTTATATCTCATTTGACTCACGTGATACAGACGTTGCACAAAGAAAATTAAATTTTAGAGAATTTACTGTTAATATTCTTTTTTTTTTAACATTTAAATTTTTAGTACTGAGGAAATGTTGGGTCAATTCTACTGGCCCAAGACATGAGCCCCCCTTTAATATCTTTAGCTGATAGAGGACCAAATCCTTTGACAGGTAACTCCTGCAGAATTCTTACAGCCTTCTGGGAGTCATTTCCTAATTTGCAAACAACATACACAGGAAAAGATGTTTGGCCATCAGTTCTCTGCTTTTCTTCACAAATTCTTTTCTCTAAGTATTCCAGATATTCTTCATCTTTTTCTTCTAACTTACTCAAAGGAATGTGGACAGCATGTTCCAGGCGACAGATATCCACTTCAACCTGCGGGCGAACATCTAGCAATACATGAGGAATTTGCTCATCCAACAGTTTTTTGTATTCCTCGACAGATATCCTGTCTTTACTGGACAACAGATGTAAAGTTCTACACTTGTCTGTTGCAGAAGAGCCACAAAATGCCTCATAATCCTGAAGGCAAGTGACAGATGGATTGTCACCACAAACAGCACAGTCTGATCTCTTTGGTCTTAACTTGATGTTGCGAAACCGCCCTTCCTGGGCATCAAACATCAGCATGAACTGATTGAAGGAGGATCCCATCCCCGAAATGATCTTCAACACTTCCAAGGCCTGAATACATCCCACGATGCCCGGCACGACACCCAGCACTCCCCCATCCGCACAGTTAGTCACTGTCTCTGGTGGAGGTGGCTTGGGAAAAAGGCAGCGATAGCAGGGCCCTCCCTGGTAGTTGTACACGACCAGCTGCCCCTCCAGCCGGAGAGCACTGCCAGACACCAGGGGCTTCCCAGCCAGGACGCAGGCATCGTTCACCAAGTACCTGGTGGGCACGTTGTCGGAGCAGTCGGCCACCACGTCGTACTGCCGCACCAGTTGCAAGGCGCTGCGCTGACTCAGAGCCCCGCAGTAGGGCACGTACTGCACCGTGGAGTTGAGCTGCCGCAAGGCCGCCGCGGCAGACGCGGCCTTGGGGAACCCCCGGCGGGCCTCCCCGTGCAGCACCTGCCGGTGCAAGTTGCTCGTCTCCACCACGTCGTGATCCACCAGCCCCAGGCGGCCTACGCCGGCCGCGGCCAGGTACTGGGCGAGGGGGCAACCCAGGCCGCCGCAGCCCACCACGAGCACGGACGAGCGGGCCAGCAGCAGCTGCCCTCGCACGCCCAGCTCAGGCAGCACCAGCTGCCGGCTGTACCGCAGGATATCGGCGGGAAGCAGCGCGGCCCGGGTGGGCAGCGGGGGGAGCTCAGCGGGGAAGGCGGCATCAGCGGCACCGGCACCCCGCTCAGTGGCTCCACCGCGCTCCCCCGCCAGGACGGCAGCTAACTGCTCCCGCAAGTCACGCAGCTCCCGCTCCCGCTGCTCGATCTCAACGCTCAACCACACCGCCTCCGCGCCGCCAGCCATGTCTAAGGCGAAGAGCGGGCGGACCCAGTTTCCGCCTCCGGCCGGCGACTTCCGGCTCCGCCGCGAGCGCTGATTGGCTGCGCGGTGCCGGGAGGAGCGGAGCTGTGACATGGCGGCGCGCAGCGGCAATAAGTTCTCGGTGCTGCTGCCCACCTACAACGAGCGCGAGAACCTGCCGCTCGTCGTGTGGCTGCTGGTGCGCACGTTCCGCGAGAGGTACGGCCGGGCTGGTCGGCCTCTGCGAGCACGGCGTCGCAGCTGCGGTACGCACCGTAGCGTAGGCCGCTGTCTGCAAATCTCTTCGTGTTCTGTTTCACGCCGTGCGGAACGGTGGGGGGGAGGAAAACGGGTTCTCTGTGAGTCCGCTTACGAAGTGTTTCTGGTTTCAGTGGGACGGACTTCGAAATTATTGTCATAGATGATGGCAGCCCGGACGGGACGCAGCAGGTTGCCGAGCAGCTGGAGGCGATCTATGGGTCGGATAAAATCGTGAGTCGCACTTCTTGTCTTTCCTTCCCCGGGACGCACCGGCAGCCCCCGGCAGTGCGCGCCCCCCGCAGCAGCTCGCTGGCGCTCGGCGGGCGGGGCGGTGAAGGTGCGCGGCTGTCCGCGCTCAGCGCTCCTCCGGTGCTTAGCAATTCCTTTAAAGTAGTGGTGTTCAGAAGGCCTTTGTTTGGGTTCTTAACTGTACGCCTGGTGGTGCAACTTGAGGGAATCCTTTAATTGCAGGAATGATACTTTCAAATTTATTTTAATAGGATGAAATGAGAATAAAAGTAAGGAGTTTATTTCTAAGTATGACATGACCTGTTTCATGTTGGCTTTTCCTGTATTTTCCCTGATTAGTTTATTTTTATGTGCCAACTAGATTTCTAAGAAGGAAAACAAGTTCCTCAAGTATTTTTTACACCTAAAAATATAGAATTCAGAGGTGTCACAAAAGTAATTAAAATGTGTACTTCAATTAATAGATGATATATTTTTGTGTATCTTACAGCTTCTAAGACCCAGACCAAAGAAGTTGGGCCTTGGTAAGTCCTTGTTAATTCTAGTTTATAGTAAGTAAATAAATATGTAGTGCTTGTGGTGCTTCTGAATACGTCATTTCAGGTAGCAGCCCACCTATTGAGTCTTGTTTCTCTATGCATTGCCAGTGCAAGGTGTGACAAGGCCAACACTTAGAAAATCTAGTGCTGAAGTGATGGGGAAAAAAACCAGCTTTAACATTTGACTGTTGGCGTATCATTTTAGCAGTATTTAGTTATCATTTTCTGGTGAAACTTAACAATTTTAAGAAAGAGAAAGCTGTGGCTAGAAGATTGCATATGCCAAAATACAGAAGGAAATTCTTTCTGTACTGTTTTCATCAGGCACTGCCTATATCCATGGAATGAAGCACGCCACTGGGAATTTTATTGTTATTATGGATGCTGACCTATCTCACCATGTAAGTTGTATTTCACATGTAGGTTTTTTAATCTATTATAATAAAATTTTCCCTTATTTCTCCCCCTGAACTCCTTTCTCTTATCTGTTTTCTTTCTGTTTCAGCCAAAATTTATTCCAGAGTTCATCAGGTAGGTGCTACTTCTAGTTCAAACATGTAGATGCTTACTGTTTTGTAGTAAGATTTGAAAGCTATCTAACTGTAGTAAGAACTGGTCAGAGCAACACCTCCAATACAAGTGATTGACATCACTAGGTTTGTTCCAAAATATCCAGGAAAAAGTTTCCCACTGGACTAAAAATTCCGAAGTTTAAACTAACAGAGAACGTGTGGTGCATCACTTTTCTTCCTTGTAATGGTTGTTAAGCTTTGAAAACTGCATTTATGCATACATATATATATGAAAAGAATCATCTAATGCCAGTGATATCCTTGTGTGAGTGCAGGAATATTGACCAGAGGACCAAGTTCACACTTATTGTCTAATACTTCCCTCCTTCTGTTTACCTCTTACTTTCCTCTGCCTATAACACTTCAACTCATGAGAAACAGTAAACAGACTCAGGGTAGTTAAATACTTGTCAACTTTCTTGCTAAGTAGCACCAGAGGCTGAAAGTGTTACAGTTAGGCATGCTGTGTGCTAGGGATAGTTCCAGATCTATTTTTTCTCCTTACTGTGGGGTTGTGTAATTTAAATATTTAGATCAGATCTTAAAATCTGAAGACTATCCTAGCTTTGAAAATGCATAGGTACGTCTGTATTTACAAGCTAGTCTTTGAAATTGTTACATACTTTGAGGTAGTTAATTGTTCTGTAATAAAGAACTATTTTTTTAAATGCATAATGGTCATAACTGTTGTTTTGCTGTGTTCCCTATTTGTTTAAAAGTTTCTAAGTATGTTTTATACTGAGTGACCGTTTTCATTTTGAAATACTAACTTCATGCAAATGTTCTTCCCGCTCCTCTGATAAAAACCTATTCCTAACAGAAAGCAGAAAGAAGGCAATTTTGATATTGTGTCTGGAACAAGGTATAAAGGAAATGGAGGAGTATATGGCTGGGATTTGAAAAGAAAATTGATCAGGTTAGTATTTTTTCTAGACATTCACACCTAAATTTGTGACTTAGAAATTAATAAGAGCTCCAAGTACGGCTCTCAAACAATATCTCTGTGTGAGTTGAACTGAGTCTTTAATAGTACTGAGTACTGCAAAGTGGTGTGAAATGCGCACAGTTTGTCTTCAATTAAAACCATCAGGAAAGAACTTAGCAATAAGTTAATGGCAAAACAGCTGGCTGATTCAATGTACAAATATGCAAAGTATCAATTTGGGACACTTCTCTCTCATCATCTGAAGAATGAACTGAGACTATGGCACCTTTTCAAGTTTGCAAGATATGATTAGTTAGCATTAAGATCTACAGTGGTCCCTTCTCTTAACAGTAAATTTTTCTAAATCCTTCTGTTGATACTCTGATTTGCCAGAAGTTAAGAATTGTCTAACATGATCAATGTCAATAAATCATTACTCAGACCTTACTGGAAAACTGCTAAAATGAGCACTAGGGAAATGTTTCACCCAGAAACCAGAGGCAAGCTACGTCAAGGCCATCCAGGTAGGTGGAGGCTGGCATCTACTTGTGTAGGAGCTCACAGGTTTTGAGGAGCTAATCAGCTAGTTTGTTCTGCATCTTTTCTCCTCTACACAATTGAAGAGAATAAGTTAACACCTATTTCCTTGTTCCTGTAAGGAGTTAGGAGCTGGAGTGCTGTTAGCGTAATCTGGAGATGGTGACATAGGGACAGTATCTGTATTTCTCCTTCTGCAATGGAATAACTGCTTATCTTTTTGTGAGTCTAAATAAAAGGCATACATCCCCCTGCTCCTCTTTTTTTTTTTTTTTTTTCTTAAGAGAAAATGAGAAAACAGTGGATATTACCAAGTAATCCTTGTACATCATGCTCTACAATGTGAAGCATGTGTGCATCTGATAGCATGTAGCTGTGAGCTACATAAGTCAGTTATGACTAAAGTTGTGACATTTTTTATAAGGAGAGTTCTTCCTCATTATACTATGAAAGCAGAGTAAGCTGAAATGAAACCTTGCTTTTCTGAATCTGGGTGTAATGTTTATCCAGGAAACATCTTTATTCTCTTGCAGTGAATGTTAAGGATAAAATGTAATTATGACTGTTGTCAGATTTGTTTTGTATTTTAATACAGTGTGTTGTTGTACTGACAGGTCTACTATAAGCAAGCATACAGTAAACCTAACTTCTAACAATCTAAAAATCACTTTTCTTCAATTTTTCAGTAATATTAATCATTTAAACTTGAAAAACTTAATGTTGCTTTCACTTTAAGACAAGTATTCATTAATAAAATTTAGTATGGAAACATATTAGAAATACCATTGTTTCATATTAAGCAATATATATGTATATTTTTAAGCTTATTTTCTGGAAACTCTGCTTGATTTTCCTGAATTGTGAATGGGCTGTTTTGACATTTGTTTCCTTTCACAGTCGTGGTGCCAATTTCATAACTCAGGTTTTGCTGAGGCCAGGTGCATCAGATTTAACAGGGAGTTTCAGGTATGGTATGCAAGTCATAAACTCTTTTTGAAATTAAGAAACTGCTGTAATAGGAACTGGAGTAAGAACAGGCCTTCTTTATTGAAGACTGTGACATCTGTTTGAGAAGGGTGTAAGAAATAGTAGACTACATTGCAGGAACTGTTGCTCCAATGATTTTGTTAATAATTTTTTTTAAATGATGATACGACTGACTGATTTACTGTTAAGATTCATAAATGCAGGGTAATGATTTCTGAAGTTCAAACTTTGTTTCATTTCCTTTGTAATTGCTTTCAGGTTATACAGAAAAGAAGTCTTACAGAAATTAATGGAAAAATGTGTTTCTAAAGGCTACGTCTTCCAGATGGAAATGATTGTTCGGGCCAGACAGCTAGGCTATACGATTGGAGAGGTATAGTAAAACTTCTGATAAGTGTGTTGTGCGTTCATTTAAATGCAGTTACAGCTTATGAGGACAGGCTGAGAGAACTGGGGCTCTTCAGCCTGGAGATGAGAAGGCTTTGAGGGGACCTTATAGTGGCCTTCCAGGACCGAGGGGGGCCTGAAGGAAAGCTGGGGATGCCCTTTAGAAGGGCAGGTAGTGACAGGAGGATGGGAAATGGCTTTTAACTGGAAGAAAGGGAGATTTAGACTGAGCATTAGGAAGAAGTTCTTCACTGTGAGGATGGGAGACATTGGAACAGGTTGCCCAATGAGGTTGTTGATGCCCTCTCCCTGGAAGCACTCAAGGCCAGGCTGGATGGGGCTGTGAGTAGCCTGGTCTGGAGGGAGGTGTCCCCGGAACTAGGTGTTCCTAAAGGTCTCTTCCAGCCCAAAGCTCTCTATGATTATTAGAAGCGTAGCAAATTCTGAACACCTCCAAGAATATGCAAGGTTTTCAAATTACTATGAAGTTACACAGGTTTTCCATCTTTTCCAGATGATTGCCACATATGAAATTCCACTCACTTATTCCCTTGTCTGACAGGACCTTCCCTTTTCCTGTTGCCATTTCTTTAAGTGTGTTATTTTATTGGGTTCTTCAAAGCAGAGAGAAATTCCAAATGCACCAGTAAACCTGCACTTAGCCTCCTCTTTATTGTGGAGAGACACTTCTAGCTTGGTTGTCTCAAAATATTTCATTTTCTCCAGCAACCTGATTCTGTTTCAGATTTATAGTCCTCTGTCATTCATGTTCTTTTCCAGCTCTTGCAACTTTTCTCTTGTAAACTTTTTTGATGTGCTGTCGACTGTCATTTAAAAAAAAACCAACACTTATATCCTATATTCCCAGCAGTCTTATTGCTGCCTCTTATATTTCACTGAATTGCTCTTGATAGTGTCTGAATTCACTGAAATTCTCTTTGCAGCCAGATCTCAAAAACAGTTCATCAGCATTTTCATGACCATGAACTGTTGGAGAACTGTTCTGGTACTTTCTAAATCTTGTGTACTGCATTTCTGTATGAACATTGGGTATTTTTACACAATATAGGAGACTCTCTTTTCTCACTCATGGAGTGCCAATGCCATGCTGACTGTAGCTTGGGTTTGACCTTGAATTTCTTTGGTTTTTGTATCCAGCTGCATTCACATTTTGCTTTTTAATGTTGCTGAATGAAATACTTGTCTGTCTATACATCTGGTACTGAAATGCAGGATGAGAAAAGTTCGTATTATACATTTTGAAAACACTAAAATACACTTCTTTAGTTTAAAAAAAGAAAAGCTATCTTGGCTTGCTTCTGTCTCTTCTGTGTGCTGCTGCAGAGACCTTTCTTCTGCCTACTGTTTGAGTTCACCCCTCATTGATTTGCATGCCTGCTGGTTGCAAAGCATCAAATGTCTCCAGGTTCAAAGCCTGACAGACTGCCTGTCTGCAGTAAGCCTTGTATCTCTGAGGCAGTGTTGGGACATAGGCTCTGTTTTGTAATGGGGGAGTTGTGCTGCCCTCAACAATTCCTGTTACGTTCCCAAGGAAGCAGCGTCCCTCCTTTGGCTTCTCACGTGTGGGAAGAGATCTGATACCTGAAGAGTTGCTTCATTATTCTATTTCAGCTTTAAGACTTTCTGATCTCTTTAACAAACTCAACAGAGTTCACATTGCTACCACAGACTGATAAGTAAGATTGTTGTATTTTGGGTTTTTTTAAAACTCTTATTTATCATCTCTATATTCTAACTTCCTGGGGCAGAATCATTTTCCATCATCATCCAATTCCACTGATAAAGTATTTCCTGGCATGTATGCTCCTAACACTGTGTGGATAGTGAGTTAATCACTTAATGAAAGGAAAATGAGTTTTTAAGGTGATTTTTTTAAATCCTATAAATCTATAAAATGGCCAAAGGCAGACAAAGTGCCTATTCTTACAGACGAGTGCTACCCACAGCTGCCATATTCGGGCATCACCTTCTAGCCAGTGGCAAAGCTGATCAGAATGCTGTTTCAGGGCAGCAGGGATATTTCTCTAATAGAGGCGCTGACTTAAAAGGTACTGAATTTACCTAACAGGGGAAGCAATGAAGATTGATTCTGAGCCTCTGGAATTGTAGTGCGCTTGTGCTGTTAGGTTTGTTCTGCCTACTGTGTCATCCACCCACTGGGTATTGTCCTTGGATCAGCTTTGAAGGTGGGAGACTTAACATGTTCATGCTGCCCAGCTACAGGCCATCGTTAAAGCCCTGATAAGAGGGACTGAGATGCAGGAAGCCAGTCTGGTGCTTTCGTGCCTCACCTGTAGAAGCACGCTGTAGCTTGAAGTCCATGGTTTGGCTTCGTTTTGTATTGCAGAATTTCTCATTATATATGTTTTGAACCTTAAAAATAACATTGCTTTTTTTCCACAGGTTCCCATTTCGTTTGTTGACCGTGTCTATGGAGAATCTAAACTCGGAGGCAATGAAATAGTCTCCTTCTTAAAGGGACTCTTGACGTTGTTTGCTACCACATAGGATTTGCTGCTAAATTCCTTTCTTTAGAAAAACACTTTCTGCCATCACTATGGTTCCTAGCATGCAGCAGCAGGAGTTTGATAACTTCCCTGGTGACCTGAAGACCTGCTATAAACTAACAGTTAAACGAACCAAGAATAATTAACTAAATGGACTGTATTGCAAAATGCACCTTTCAAAACAAACTATGTGAAACTAGTCAAAATAAAGGCATATACCCTATACTGCTTTTGTATAAATAATATCTTAATAGAGAACGCAAACAGCTGAATGATCTTTTGCATTTAGAAATGAACCATTATTCAGCAGAAGTTTAAAGATGATTTTTGAACTAAAGACATGCAGGGTCATAAACATAGAGATTTCTTATCTTTGTTCTGTGTTCTGCTGATAGTATTTTTAGTATATAACAGTGAGTTGGCTTTCTTTCCTCAACATGGACATCTGTGGTTCTTAGAGTTGAGCAAAGGTGCTTTTCTGAAACTGATGACAACTCGTGTTGTCCAAGAAATACAGATAAATACAGTGATCTTTGAAAACTTATTTCAAAGCTGGAAGGATGGAATTTTCTTCGGGTAAGAAAGAATCATTCTGGAATATTCTTGTATTCTGTGTGCACGTCCAGAAATAAATGATTCTTTTGTCCTATTTTTTTAATAATCTAAAACAAGAATGTAATGTCTTGCCCATGTTAGGGTGATAGAAGATCCACATCACCTCACCAAAGACATCAGAGAGATTCTTCTTGTGTCAGATAACATTTTGCAATGTAACAGCTGTACAGCTGATGAAAGAAATACGGCAATGTAATCCTGTTTGTGTTTCACCATTTGATGTAGTCAGAAATCAGAAGTGGTGAAGCCCTTGCAATCAAATACGCATCTTGGGAACAAAAGTAAAAATAAGTTTAAAAAAAACAAGGGGGCAAAATTATAAATAAAGTTAAATTATTCTGATAATGGCTTTGTATGTACGAAAATACATCCTTAAGATTTTTTGGTGGTGGGAAAGGATAGTTCTTTGTTTTCTGAAATGTGTACTCAGTGGGAGAGGAGAATCAGCATGTCTCTTAACAGTTGTACTTATTTAGATTGTATCTGTTTACATTCCTGTAGTATATTAAATGTGGTTGTTAACATTCAACAAATGTAGCAAGGCTGCAGGTAAATGATAAAATCCTATTTCAGATAACTAGATAAACAGATACCACTCCATGACTGAAAATAAAGCCACAAATCTCTGAAGTGGAAACTTAGTGCCTAGTGGGCTGTTTTTTAATTAGAGATGCTCCTTTGTTCTTTACTGAAGTTATACATATTCTGATATTTTTCTCCTTTTCTGAGCACTCCAGGCAAATATTTTGTTTCTTTTGCTTTAAAATAAAAATGTAGCTGTGGATTTTTGAATGGCTGTAATTCAGTTCCATGGAGGTTCAGCTCTACGTTCTGCCATTTGCCTGTGCTTTTTGAGCAGGTCCTGTTCAGCTGTGTGGTTTAATTTGGTGCAGGCCGATCCCATCTGGTAACATGCAATTTCTGGGTGTAGAGGCCCACTGACATCTCAACTGATAGATGAAATATAATCACACCTTGTTTGGAGCGTTTGTGGCATATTTGTAATTTGCAAATAGTTTTTAAAAGTTCACCCCAATTTTCACAAGAATACATGCTGAGCCTCAGCAAGATCATATTTTCTCAGACTTGTGTGTAACTGATGTCCACTATATTAGTTCTTTGTGATCTAACTGCTGTGAATTGGAATGTACATGCCTGGTAAATTTCCTTAGTTGCAAAGTCATTGTGTCTACTTTTGAGATGGTGTTTGAAGTAGGATGATTTACATATAAATTAGGATCACCATACACAGTGTATTCTGTGGTTTGTGGTATGTGCAAGTTGGAAGCATGACGGGCTGGCAGGCAGTTTCTGACTGCTTAAAAGTAACAGAATTAAGTCATAAAGAAAGGAAAACCTACAGCAGGCTTTCCACGGCGCCAGTGCAGAGGTAGAAAATGCTGTTGAAAGTGATGAATAATAACATGGATCCAGGGGAAAGAAGCAGAATTAAGAATTGCACTGCTGAAATGCCAGCTGCAGAGTAGCTCCATTCTTTCAAACATTTCCTTTCTGTGCATTTAAAAAGCCTGAGCTTAGAAGGAGCCGCTGCTCATGTGCTTGGCCCTCTGTGCACATGAGGAGGAATCATAGAATAGTGTTGTGTTAATGTTCAGTCACTGTGGTGACTAAAAACATCTGATTCTAATATCTTCCCTGTTTGAGCACTTCAGAACCTCACCAGTACTCAAGTAAGTGTTCTTTATGTAGGAAAACTTCAAAAACGAGCTCCAAGACTGCTTTTAACCAAGACTGCTTTTAACCAAGACCTTCTGCACGCACTGCTCTGAAAATTTGTAAAAAATAAATACTGTAGAAGTGTAGCCAGAGGTCAGAGTTCTATTAGAAGTCCTTCTTCACTAGAGCTAGTATCTTTTAAATACAAAATGGGCTGAAATAGCCCTCACATAGTGCTGCTTAGGCTGTTTGGGGGTATTTGTTAATATAAACCCTCTGAGTTACTTTAATTTGTTCTCAGCTTCTTTTAAACAAGCCTCTTTGTACTGGAAGACTGCTTATATAAATTCTTGGCATAAAACAAACAAGAAAGAAAATACAGGCCAGTATTTTCCTAAAATACAAGATGTGTGAGAATAGCTGTGCTGTCTGTAAGCAGTAAGAAATACAGCTACTATGATCTTTGCCCAAACATACCAGCACTAAGCAGTACAGGGTCTTCTAGGGCCAGGGTTACAAAGGTCCAGACATGGTCATGGTTTGTGGATCAGTCTGGTTGCTTTTTGAATCGCTTTGTAGTCTGCTGCAGCATCCTGTGGCAGTGAGTTCAGCAATTTGCACAAGCATTTTGTGAAGTACTCTATTTTAAACTTATCACTTTATAAGTTCATCAGATGTTCCCTGTTTTCTTGTGCTTTATTTTATAGATGCTGCTTTTTCTCCACATTATACTCAGTCCTGTTTGTTGTTTTTTTTTAAGTTCCTCAGACAGAAGCCACCACCTATTCAGAATATTAGTAACAGATTACAATTCTATTGTTGTTAGGGGTTGAGTGCCCAGAACTCCATGCAGTGTCTTAAATGTGTACTCAGGATTTATACAGCGGCATTTTAGGTTTCAGTTCCTTTCTTAGTAACACTGCAATATGCTGCTTGCCTTGTTTTTGGCCACCACAAAACTCTGAATTGACATTTACAGGAAATTTTTCACTCTATGTTCCTGGTTTTACAGTTCCACATAAATCAGCTTTTCTTAATTACATCCATATTCATTTCCTATGAAAGCACAATGTGCTGCTAATGTACTTTACTTTCTCTGTTATACTTCCTTAAGAATCTGTGTCTGCTAGCACTCAATTGTTTGGCAACAACAGGAGCTTTATTTCCTTCCCGGCTTAAATCTGTGCATATCATGGCTGCGTTTGGTTGGGCATGCCAATGAAGAGGGAGCGGAAGGTAACTCACATTTTCTACCAGTAATACATCCTTTCCCCTGAGTAGCAAGCTGATTACTTCCTTTGGCAAACAGGCAGGGCTATGGGGAAGAGACCTCTTCTTGTTATTATGGACTAGTGGATCACTGTGATGTGTGAACAGACTCAAATCCATGACAGAAGCCAAAGCGTGTGCCAAACTTCAAGAATGCAGTCCCAACAGACGTGATGTTACAGAACAGGTTGCAAAGTTTTGCATAGTGTTTCACACAGCTCTTATTATTAACCTGTGTGAGGTGCTTGCACTCTGGGTGGTTTGTGAAGACATTTCAATCTTCATCTCTAGTCAGAGCTGTGCTAAATGACCTAAGCAAGCTTGTATTGAAGATGTTTGTTGTAGAAACCAAGGCCCAAGCTTTGGAAAGAAACACACTACTGGGGGCTGCTGAAGTCGGTATCACCTACTGTCAATGGACCTGATCAACTGTTCTGCTGGCTGTGAGCAGCTCTGGTCTCCTCATGCCCTCAACACATTCAAAAGCTCATGCCCTGAGATGTGGAATGTCTCAGTCACATGAATCGCACGAGGACAAGTTGAATCCTTCTGACTACATCACTGTGGTCCCAAAGCTGGGACAACCACTTCTTCACAACCAAGCCCTGGTTAACACATCTAGCTGAACTGCAAATCAATAGCAAAATAATACCGCTATTTTATTTCACTGGGGTATTGGGGTGAAGAGTTGTCTGATCTGAAGTAGTGGGAAGTTGGCTTCGGTTTTGGTTTGTTTTTAAAATGTGCATCTCTAATGTGTGCCTGCAATAAAGATGTGCCTAGTTCCAGTACGGGCAATACAATAGAACAGATTTTCCAATGGACTGTGTAGAAAGCCAACTGCAAGGCTGCACAACCTTCTGTGTATCAACAGTAAAAAACAGCAATGACTAATCAATAATATTTATCTAAAGGTCTATCAAGATGACTAGTGTAAGCATGGATTGAGATCTTGGCACAACTGAATTAAATGACAGATTGCCTACTGAGTTCAATACATTGGACTTCAGCAACAGCTTTTCACCAGTTAGCATTTCAGAGCAGTAGGCACATTTTAACGTTAGGATCAATAAGAATAGAACATACACAGACAAGAGGGCTGCCTATCAGACATTATCAATGTGTTATGACACAGTACCCCAAGGTGTCACACTGTAGAAGACAAGACTAAAAAAGGTAATTGCAGAACTTCTATAAAGCATTGAAACTCTTGGAGCGTCGTTTTCTCCTCTGTGACCCTGTCAAATTTCACCTTTTTTCTTCAGGCACAGTGGCCATGCATAGCATCTTATGTATTGTGATTGTTATTATTCAGAGGGAAGTAAATTGGGACTGGGGAGAACAATACCGAATTGCAACTTTTAATCCAAAATTAGACCTGAAAACTGAGCTCCAGAGAGAGGGATTTCAACAAAGCAGCAAAAGGCAAGGTACTGAAATGGAAGGTTATTCCTGCAAGGTTAGCTGTAGTGGCAGTTCAATAGAAATTGATAATGGTGCATTTTAAAAGACTTGTATTTGGCCCTCAGCACTTTTTATCCTTCTTTGTTTTGTTTGGTTTGTTTTCCTACACCTCTAGGAGCAAGTGAACACAACTGAGAACCTGATGTTTTCTGGGAGGCTGAGAATGGTTATCTAGTTCCTAAAATGATGTGCTCTCAGAAAAGGAAAGATCTGAGCACTAAATGATACTTCTACCTTTGTTTTCCAGAACAGAAAAGATCTTGACTGAGCTCCTAGTTGCTGCTAGAGAATGCCCAGCTGCCTTCCACCCCCCACTTCTGTGCAAGAACAATCCACAAATAACCAGATTTACTAACTACCTGGTGAAGTTCACGTTGTGGCTTATATGTGTTCAGAGAGCACTTATTTCTACTCCATTTTTCCATTCTGCTTGCTCTTGCAAAGAAGGCATGTGGTGGTACTTTTGATGGGCTGATCCTGTTAAAATAATTCTATTACTTGGTATTAGAGCTTGAATGAAGGAGAAGTAAAAGACAAGTTGTGTGAGAATGCTAAATTATTGAAATTTTGAAGTTAGAAGTCTAATTATTTATTAGTCTAATTGTACACTTAGACTTTTAGCTTACATCTTTCATTAAGAAAACCCTCAATATGAATTCATTTTGAAAGTGCTGACAACATGGAAGGTAGCAATCTTATATCCACAAAAACAGTGTGGTTTGTCGTGGCAGAACATCACCTCCAAAGGCCTGCATATTTGAGTGAGCAGCTTCCAAGTGAAATTTAAGTGTTGTTTATGACAGATAAATTTATTACTGGTCTAAGAGATTGACATTCCTTCCTAGTTATCCTAACCAACTAACTAAATCAATCTTACACAGCTCTTATCACAGAGCTTCTCAATATGAGGGTTTTGTTTTTTTTGGTTTTTTTTTCTTTTTTCTTTTTTTTTTCTTAAAGGTAAGGGAGGGGAGGGAATGGAGTGCTCAGTGTGAAGGCAAAGTTCTTCCCAACTTTCATCTCAATACAGACTGAATTTGGCTCCTTCCTGGTGATTTTTGCCTAAGTTGTCTTCATGGAAGAAGATTGAGAATGCTGACAGATGATGAAGTGTCTTAAATGACAAAGGAGCTGGAGGGCTCCATCCCAGTGAGACTGTGGGCTCTTAGTACTGCT